TAAAAAAAAAAAATGTCATTTCTTGTTTCAGTGTAATGCTCTTAAAGTCATAGCATGAAAATAACTGTCCTATTCTTAGTAGTTTGAATAATAGTATTTTTGTATGTTTGGGGTGTGTCTCTGTATGTATTAACATAACAGTTTTCACTGCCTAGGTGTTCATAATAAAAAAGAAAACAAAAAGTTCTGAGTGTACATAATATTCAGTAATAAACTTCCACTGGGTTCAATTTGGATTGAATATTTGCTGATTACCAATCCCAACTGGGATTCCATTTTGTTTTAAAGAGACAGTGATCGTGTTTTTCTAAAGCTGTTTTCTTTCTCTGTCTTTAAATATCTTAACTTTACCACCTTTCTCTTTTCTTGCCTTTTTTTTTTTTTTTTTTTTAAATATTGATTCAGGGGTGTTTTTCCACTGTTGTCAAGGGAGGAACACAAGGGGAAATTGACTCCTTGGTCTCCCGAAACTTTTTGTTTTATGTACTTAACTTTAAAATGTGAGTTTGAGTTCTCTTTTGTGGAAACTTAAGATGTGGTGTAAATGATTTTTTTCCAAAATTGTCCAGCAACTTTAATGAGGCAGTGACAATTCCTAAGTAGTTTATTGGGAGTCCTTTTACATTTCTGCTTAGATAACTACAGTCTGGGTGGCTATTGTGTAGCCTCACTGTCCCAGCATACCTAGTTAGCCATTTCCCCTCTGATAGGAATATTTCATAAGAATCAACTGATAACTTGGAGTTCAGGACCTCATTATCTGGGCCCTTGGGAAACACTTTTTCTTGGTTTTGAAAACCTGAAACACAAGCAACTTCACATTTGGGGAAATTAGCTGGTACCTCCTGAGGCCTGAGGAGGTGGTGGGGAATATGAACGGTGCTGTCTCTTTCAAAGTGCCCTTTATATGATCCCCTTCCTGAGGCTGCTTGCAGGGGCCCTATAGGCTTGGGAAAGGTGGTGTAGGTGACAGTGAATCAGAATGAAGTGGTAGATTTCATGTAGATGCATTTGTCTGCTGTAATTTTTTATATATATTAAACTTACTGTAACTGTACAGTTCATTTCTGTTGTAAAACATCATTAAACCATTTTCCAAGTGTTTTCACATTGTTTGAGTTTCTCTGAAGTTGTCATGTTGGTATTCTGGATGCTTCACATATTCCCACACTACTCCCTTAAGCCTTCCAACTTATTTTTTCCAGCAGGTGCTCTCAGGAGTCCCAGGGTCCCTGTAAGCACGTTGGCTCCTCCCCCACCCTCACCCCGACTCTTGCACACTTCCCCTTCTGCTCCATGGGGCCCTGTGGCCACCACCATGCTCCCTCCCCAGGCCCTAGTGGTTTTCTGGGACCCTGAGTCTGGTAGCAGTGGTCTCCTTCAGGCCTGAGGACTTTCTGTGATCAAACACACAAACCCTTGATTGACCTGTGGGAGAAATCTTCACAACTCCCGTCTGTGTATTTTACTTCAGAACTGGCATTGAACTTGACTTTTTCCAAATTGTTTAAACTGCCATGCGCCTCTGGCATTTCTTGCCAGGTCCTGAACACTCATTCTCTGGTGTCCTTTGAAGGAAGGTGATCCTGCCTGAATTTGGCCTCTCGTTCTCCTGTCTGATGGTTCACAACTTAGCTCCCTCTGGCTTCTTATAGCCAACATTTAGTGTCTTTAGTGCAATTTAGTTGACTGCATAAAAAGGGAAATTGGAATCTTAAAATGAATTTCCCAGAGAGAGGGAACTTCAGCCTGTTAACAAGCTTTGGGAGGTGACCTCTTTACTAGTGTGTGTGAACTGAATTTGTGCATCCCCTTAAAGGAGGAGTCAGAGATTGAAAGAGAGCTCACACTATGGCCTCAAGTTATGCTTGCTGTCCTGAAAGGGGCCCAAAGTGGAAGACAAACACGGGCTTCTTTTCTCCCCACTTCCTGTGTCAAAGAATGCCTCACTCTTTCCCAGCCCACCGTGTCTCACATTTATACCTTGCTTTTCGGTTTGTAAAGTTACTTTATTAAAACAGTTTTAAGATGAGTCAGCTATTTGTTAGAGACGGCAGCAGGCTCACAAGCATGAGAAGGACTTCAGAAAGCAAAACCCCTTTGTCACGTGCGAATATGAGGATAAACACTGATTTCCACCTGTTTCCCTGTAGTTCTTTGTGAAAAGGTTATGTTCTAACCCACTCCAGAGGTATCTGCCAAGCAGAATTACTCATGAAAGGATGTGAGTTTTCTCACTGAAGCCTTCTCTCCCCAGCGACCAGGGCCACTCTCAACTTGACCCGGGGCTTTGTTCTGCCGGTATATCCACCCCATCCTCCCCCACTGGCCTTCTCTTGCGTAGTTGTCTTGCGCAAAGTCCAGCAAGTCCTGGGCAAGCTCCGGCACCCAGAGCTTACAGCCAGCTTTCCTCCTGCTTCGTGAGCCAGAGTCTTGACAGAATTAGGTCAAATTCTTATTTTCAGGCCAGCCACATGGGTCATACACAGCCCATATGAAACTTAAATGACCTTAAAACTAGGTATGAGGTTGAGGCTCATCCAAATGTTGACTAACAGAGGAAGCTAACTCCAGTTTTTACGATGCCCGATGAGAAGATGATAAAGCAGCAGCACCCAAAATAGAGCTGTCACTTGTCTTTAAGAACTCGTCAGTGGAAGAGCAACTGAAACAACATGGTGTAGTTTGCCCCATGACCAGGTTACATGATCAGGGTTGACTTTTCAGCCATCCTCTTCCACCTCAGAGGTCTTTTCCTTCCACAAACCCTTCCACAGCTTCTGTGCCTTGGTGAGCTCTGTCCACACCCTGTCATCAGCGGCCACTCATCCCTGCTTCTGCCTGAGGGTCCTGTGTGGGTCACAACACTGCAGTGTGATGCAGAGTTCTTTACATGGTATGGACAAAATCCAGTGACAAAATTTTAAGTCCCTAACTGGGATGTTACTTCTCTAGCCTTCTTGGTAGCTTGCAAAGTGCTAGGTACAGAAGAGGAAGGTGCTAGTTAATACCTGGTTGGGTGGAACTGAATTCCCCTCTTGAGGCCAGGATACAAACCAAAATGCCTTTGTGAGGCATCCTGTCTGTGAGTTGCCTGGCAGAGAGGCACATCACTTCTGTTGGAATCCCAAATGCTCAGGGGCTTTTAATAGTCATGGCCTTGCATTTCAATGTCTTTTTTTATTTCAAAATCTACCCAATATTAATTGGTGGCTTCATGAGTTCTTTTAGTTGCTATGTCGTGTCCAGCTCTTGAGACCCCATGGACTATGGCACACAAGCTCCTCTGTCCATGGGATTGCCCGGGCAAGAATACTGGATGGAGTGGATTGCCGTTTTATTCTCCATGGCATCTTCCAGTGTCTCCTGCATTGGCAGGCAGATTACCACTGAGCCATCTGGGAAAGCTTATTGAGTTAGGGCCTTATAAACAGCCACTACAGTTAAGCCAAAATACTGCTGGGGACAGGGTCACTTTTGGGGGCAGAGTCTGTTTTTTTGTCCCTTCCCCATACCTTACGGACTGAGGTTGTGTGCTGTGGCATTGGCGGCTGCTCATAACCCCCAACACCCCCTGCTCACAGCACCCTCTCTCCGGACACCTGGATCCTCTGCTGGCGCCTCTCCCGTTCTCCCCCCTGCACACAAGCTGCGCCATGCGGTGAGCCCTGCACCCAGGGCTCTCTCCTACCCCCTCCCACAGGCCGTGCCCCCCGTATTGCCCCAGGCAGAGCCTGGGCTGGCCACTGGCTGCATCCTGCTTTCCTGCATGTTCCAGGAACCCATCCCGTTCTCTCCCAAGAATCAGCAGTTCTGCCCCCACTGCAGGGGCAGCAGGCTGATTCCTTGATGACTAAATGACCATTATAGGCTTGGCTGTCTAAATGAAGCTTACAGCAAAGCATTTTCACTAAAGTTATTTATTATGCAAAAGAGTAAGGCTCTAGCAAACCAGCATAAATTAAGACCAAGCAGAGTGGGTTTTCCATCCATCACCATGTGCCCTTTTATTACACAGCTCTGTTCTAACACGTCAGCTGAGGCTCTTTTTGTGATGCCACTGTCCTTTGGGATCTTTCTAGGTTCGAGCTATACCAAGTCGTCCTTCAAGGCCTTCCCCATTTGATGAGATGGGTTTGTCTCATTCCATGAGGTGAGCAAGTGGCTGCAAAGAACACGGTCTTGCTTCTCTCACTGCCAGCTCACCTGTTCAACATCTGCAATGACACCGCTCTGTTCTCTCATCCCAGACTCTTCACAGCTCGCTTCCCTGTGAGAGCATGGGCTCCTTGAGGGCACGGCTAGGCTTGTTCGTCTCTCGGTCCCAAAAGAGGGCCTGGCATACAGGTTCTATCACGGGGAATGTACACTTGATTGCAGGAGGGCTCCTTCACGCCTCCCCAGGCCTCTGACTCCCCTGCTCCCATCCTTATCTACCAATACCAACTGCCACCTACTCCCACCTTCCCCTCTGCCCTCTTCCTGGCCCGATCACCAGTTACCTTGAAATTAGGGGGCACGGTAACAACTGAAGCCAAATTTACAGCGGGAGCAAAGCTACTCAAAAGCTGACAGAACAATACAGACTATTTGGACAGGCACTAACATTTGTGGTTTCTCTGGGGACTTTACAAAACACACCCTGAATTCAGTTATGTTTGAGAAGGAGGAGGCCCGACTCCCAGTTAAGAACCTGGAGCTGCAGGGAGTAGGGTCTGCCTACGGTCTCCAGGAAACCAGAAGACCTGAGAACAAGGTGCGTTCACAGTGGGCTCCTCAGGGAAGGGCATGGGGATGCACTCTCCCAGCATCCAAGGACAAAATTCTGTGTGAGTTTGGAATTGGGTATGACCAAATGTTACAACTTAAAGCATCCCACTCAGAAATACTTGGGTGGTGGAGAAATATGAGTGAACTGGGTTATAAATGCTTTATCCTGTATCTTTGACAATCTGGCCGTCTACAGGTCTGGCCTGTGAGTGCTGAAACTCCAGCAGCTGTTAGCGAGGGGGCAGGGCTTGCATGTGGAGGGCGTCATAGGTGTCCTTGGTGGCCTTGCTGAGTCCCTGGGAAAAACAAATGAAAAAAGAGGAGGAGGTCAGAAGCCCTGTGTGGCCGTGAGCCTGCCTGGAGGCCAACAGGCATCAGATGCAAGCTGGCCCGTGCCCTCCCCCCGAGCTCAGGAGCCGGGGAACTGTCCCCGAGGCCACAGCTGAGGGCTCTGTGTTTTAGAGAAGCTGGCTGTGCTCAGGGTACACAATTCACACCAATTTGCAAAAACTAAGCACCCGACTACAATAACATTTTCTTTTTAAAGTAATTTTTCTTGGCTGGTTTACTTCAGTCTTCTCACCCACCCTACTAGGTGTGAGGATAAGGCAGGGTAAGGCCTCTGCAAGGGCCCAGAGTAGTGGAGAAAGAGACAGGAAATGGCTTGTTCGGTGTCCTTTACTCAAGACCACACAGCCTCTGGGCAACTGCCACCTGTCTGCCTTGCTCTGTTCCCCCAGGGCTCCCCTCGCAGCCTCCTTAGAGTCAAGTGATGTGCTTGAAAGGCTGAATCCCAACCCTGCCTCAGGGACTGACTGGCAGAGCAGTCACTACAGGCCTGAATGGGTGCCCTTGGCTTGCCAAGTTCAGCTGTTGAAGAGCTGGCACTGCCAACAAGACACACAAGGGGGCCTGGGCGTGGTCCTGGTTAGACGGCGTGGTCCTGGTTAGACGGCGCCGTCCTGGGAGCAGGGCCGGCAGTGCAGACCAGAGGCACCGCCAGCTGCACTCACCTGGTACAGACCGTCCTGCCCCTTGCCCCTTCGCCGCTGGTTCTGTGGGAGTGAGACAAGAAAAGGCTAGAAAGTCAGACAGTTGGCAGCGGCCTTCCTGCTCAAGGGCCCTACTCGGAGGGCCCCAGATAGTCAGAGCTGACCATCTCCTAGCCAGCAGCCCTGCCCAGGGAGAGAAAGGCCCTCAGGTTAGACCTTGGCCTCCGCAGAGTAAGGTGAAGCCGGGCTCTAACGAGGCCCAGGTTTGCTCTGCCCGACGCAGACCCTCATCAGATTCTTGGATCTGGGCTGCATGGGTGCTGGCCACACTGCCCACTGCTTGGAATAATCGGGCCTCCCTGCAGCTCTCAAAATTCTTGGCTAACTAGGAAAGTCACTATGGAGGCTCCTCAAAAAACTAAAAGTTGGATTACCATATGATCTTAGAAAACTACAACTCAAAAGGATACATGCACCCCAATGTTCACTGTGGCACTGTTTACAATAGGCAAAATAGGGAAGCAACTTAAATGTTCATCAAAAGATGAATGGATAAAGAAGATATGGTACATATATATGACAGAATATTACTTGGCCATAAAAAAAGAAAGAGAAAATGCCATATGCAGCAAATGGATGGACCCAGAGATTATCATACAAAGTAAGCCAGAGAAAGACAAAAACCATATGATATTACTTACATATGGAATGTAAAAAGATTATACAAATGAATTTATTTACAAAACAGACTCACAGACTTATAGAGCAGACTATGGTTGCCAAGGAAGGATAGATTGGGAGTTTGGGATTAGCAGATGCCAACTATTACTGATAAAATGGATAAATTATAAGGTCCTACTACATAGTACAGGGAACTACATTCAATATCCTGTGATAAACCGTAATGGAAAAGAATATGAAACAATGTATATAATCACTGAATCACTTTAATTAACACAACACTGTAAATCAACTATATGTGAATGAAATAAATTTAAAAAAATTTTTTTCTAGTCATTTATACTCATTGGGAACAGCAACTACGTCATGGGCACAAGCTCCAGCTGTAGTCTGTTCCGATTCTGGCTCCCTATCACCAGCTTCGTGACCCTGGGTAAGTTACTGAACCATGTGCCTGGAAGGGCACACCTGTCTCACCAGGTCATTGTGGGAGTTAAATGAGACCATCTGCCTGGAAAGCACGAGCCAGGCCAGCAATGTGGGTGTGCTGCGTGTGCAGTTACACAGGGACCAGACCTAGAAGGCTCAGTGCCCTCCGCTCACCATCTGGGAGTTCTTAATCGTGTATGAACAAGGGGCCCACCCTCCCAAGTGCTGAACATGCTTTGACACACATTAATCACTTGATTATTATTAATGTGACAGATTTTACCTTTTCTTGCAAAGCATAGGCCATTTTAGAATTTAACTTGGTTTTTAATCCTAAAGAGCACCAGTCCTTTCTGAGTACCTTACATTCTATCAAGAGATGACACAGCTGGATTAACCATTGCCTCTGGTGGCCGTCCCATGGGCTTTTGCAGGTGATAGGAGGAAGGGATGGGACTCTCTGGAACATCCCCCACACCACCCAAGCCGGGGAACAAAGAAAGAGCAACACTCACGTCACTCTTCATCCCGATCTCACTGTAGGCCTCCGCCATCTTGTCTTTTCTTAGCTCCTGAAAAAGAGGGCATGAGACCCTGGTTTTACCAACCAATGCAGAAAACTGTGGACTCCCCTGCAAAAGGGAACCTCTAGATTCCCAAGTGGGGGGGGGTCTATATTCAAGGCTCCAACAATCAGCTCCAACTCCACCCTCTTCCTTTGGAAACCTCTGAAAGCCAGCCCTTTGCATTGAGCTGAGAAGCTCAGGTTAGAACCTGAGATAAGATGTGGACACCTAGCCAAAGGGCACACATGTTGGGCAATGCAAGAGCTCACTCGAAAGCCCCAGAATTATTTATTTAAGCAAGTTGTCTCTTTACATAGCCAACACCGTAGGAAGAAGTAGCTCTCTTTACAGTAGGTTACCCCCTGCACTGGTCCCCCACACGCTGATCAACACCCAGGATGGGGAGGTTTTCAACAAGAGGTGAAACTCAGGGACTACTCTGGATCCTAGGAACAGGAGTCCCTCCCAGGGGCTTGCCCAGCTTGACCTCACTGTCCCTGCCGGGTCCCAACCAGGCTGACCCGGGAACTCCAGCGGCAGGCACAGGGGCCGAGAGAGGGAAAGCAGGCCGAGGGGCCTTCCTACAAGCAGCCACTGCAGGCAGCAAGCAGGTGAGGTCTAATTCGGCCCCAGGAAGGGAGAGTCAAGTCAGGCAAAGACCACAGAGCAAGGAGCCAAACCTTTGTCCAGAGCCCTTCTCCAGCCCTCCCCCTCAAATTTCCAAGGAAAAATATGCCACCTCCTCTACTCACATTGTACACGACTTCGTGGGGGTTCTTCTTCCTCTGCTGGGAGAGAGAAGGGGAAGAAGTTAGCACGGGACAAACAGGAATCCAGGCCGGGAGAGCTGAGGCTCCTTCCCTCCGCCCCTCCCCCACAACTGTGGGCTCCTCCTCAGTCCGCGCAGCCGCCTCAGGGCCTCAGGCTCCCTCATGCACACAGACGTGCTCTCACACCCAAGCTGAGCCCTGCTCTTAAGACCCCACCTCGGGCCTCCAGCTGCTCCTTTTCCCACAGGGTGTGGAGTTTACAGCTGCAAAGGCAGAGCTGCTGAGAGCCTGGTATCAGCGTTGCCACATTCATACTGTGAAGGCCTGTGTGACGCAGAAAGGCGCCCTGGGCAGCGGCGGAGGACGGGGTAGTGGCCAACGGCCGCCTGGCCAGGCCTCTCACACCACAAGGTCCAGCATGGTGAAGAGCGTGCTGGCCCCAAGGAGCCCTCTAACTGCCTGGCTGAGCCCGCACACACACACACTCACACACGCAGACACAAAAAGGCCCTACCGGTTTCCCCCCCATCTCAGGGTCGAAGCCCCCTCTCCTATCCAGGACTGCATACTCCTCTCTTCGGCCGACATTCAGCTCCTAGAAGATGCAGAAATGAGTCAGAGATGACAAAGGAAAGCTCAGGAGGATGGGGCCGGTAGGCCAGGGAGTTCTTTAAGAGTGGTGGCTCATTAAAAAGAATTCATTTGAATCAGTTCTAATGAGATGGATGAAACTGGAGCCCATTATACAGAGCGAAGTAAGCCAGAAAGATAAAGACCATTACAGTATACTAACACATATATATGGAATTTAGAAAGATGGTAACGATAACCCTATATGCAAAACAGAAAAAGAGACTCCGATGTATAGAACAGACTTGTGGACTCTGGGAGAAGGCGAGGGTGGGATGTTTCAAGAGAACAGCATCGAAACACGTATATTATCTAGGGTGAAACAGATCACCAGCCCAGGTTGGGTGCATGAGACAAGTGCTCGGGCCTGGTGCACTGGGAAGACCAGAGGGATCGGGTGGAGAGGGAGGTGGGAGGGGGGACCGGGATGGGGAATACATGTACATCCATGGCTAATTCATTTCAATGTATGACAAAAACCACTGCAATGAAAAAAAAAAAAGAAAAGCACAGTAGTATAGTACAACAGCTGGCTTACAGGGGCTGGAATTGCCGGCTGGAGGAGGGAGAGGAGGGGGGAGACGGAGAGCTGAAGGATGGTCAGCAACAGGAGATGGAGGGCGAGCTGCAGTTCCACTCACACCTTTTGATTGAACATGCAAACACAACATTTGTATCTTTGAAATTTTGGAACTCGAAGGTTCACATGTTAGGGGACTTACTGTATTGTTTTATAATGATTGATCTTGCTTAGATCATACAAAAATGCTAAATAAACAATATAAACAAACAAACAAAAAAAAGAGTGGTGGCTCACAAAGGAGCAGGGACCAGGGGATCCATCGGCTACGATCATCTCGGAAAGCCTCTCAGAGAACATATTACTGGGGGGGGGGGGGGGGGGCGGTGCATGATCTATTCGATCAAAGTCCCACTGCACGGAGACAGTGAAATCGCTTCTCCACCGCAGGGAAGATCTATACTTTCCTTTTCCACCCCCATCCCTCTGGTCCGTGAAACCGCTGCCGGGCGGGGGCTCGCTTGGAGCAGGCACCGCACTAAGGGGGCCCCCGCCGCGCAGCACACCGCTAGGGAGCGGCATCCTCCCAGCACCTCCACGAAGCAGGCATGGTGACTATCCCCGTTTTATGAGTTAGGAAACTGAGTCCCAGAGAGGTTAAAACAACCTGCAGGGCTAATGGCCGCGGACCAGACCCACAGCCGAGCCCCTGGCCGCTGTTCCCCCACGTCCCAGGAGAGGCGTGCACCTTCTAGGCTAGGCTCTCCTGGAGAGGCGGACTTACGTTGTAGACCGGATTCTGGCCCTGCTGGTAGGCGGGGGCGTCGGCACTCCTGCTGAACTGGATGGGGAAGAGGAGAGAAAGCGCTTTACTTTCTGCGCGGGCAGCCTCGCTCCGCTTCTCCACTGCAAACGCGTGCGCCCTGTCTGCTGGGGCTGGGCCCCTGCGAGCCCCCGGGGCCTGAAAGCCTCATTTCTGAGCCCAGCTGTCCTTTCTCCTCGCCGGGGTCAAGCGCAGTCACCGCAGGTGCCCTGGCGCCCGCCCCGGTTTCCGCTCCCAGGCCCGTGCCCTCGCGCATGCGCAGAAGCGCCTGCCTCACGGGCCGCGCCCACTGCGTTCCGGGTTTTCCCCCGGCCCCTTCCTCGCAGGGATTCGGAGAACTAGTTGAGAGGTGCCACCTCCTGTCTTGACCCCTGCGGCCGGGTGCTTTCCATGTGGCGCTGTGTCCTGAGGACCGAGGCTTCGTCTCCCTTTGCCCACGCCGCGGCCACCCCACCGCCCGCCCCAGCCCCTGGCAGGACCTGCAGGGCCCTCGGTGAAAACCCGTGCTCTGCGTTAACCTTCCCACGTACGGGTGAAAACCGGGTTAGAAGAGAAAAGGCGAGCCACGCCTGGGTCTGCAGTTGGACAGCAGGGTCTGGAAAGAGACTGCAGGCTCCCACCTCCCTGCTCCTCACTGAAGCATAACCCCCTTTCCTGGCAGAACCTCTGCCTTGAGACGCCTAAATGTTCACACATCTGTATGAGTCCTCACTAAGACTCCAACACCAGTGTACACTCATGCTCCCACTCTCGTCCGGCTAAGCGAAACACCACCCCCACCTGTCCAGCCCACCAGTGTGCACACTTGGCTGGTCTCTGCTTTGCCCGTGCATACCAACCACTCGTGCTTGAGATTTTCCAAGACCAAGGCCCTCTGGACATCCACCGAGTTGGGGAGCCCCTGCCCGCCCCCCAGAGGCCAGTGACACCAACCTTTGCTCTCAGAAACAGGGCAGTGACAATAACGCCGTAGATGAAGAGGATCCCGTCCAACAGGTAGCAGAGTTTCGGATCGAGCAGGCCAAAGCTCTGTGCCGCTGTGTCAAGAGATGAGATTGGTTAGCCAGGCCCAGGTGAAGGAACAGGTCCGGTTGGGGGGGGCGGGGCGCGGATACCGGGACAGGCCAAGGAAACCATGATGAGGGCTGGATGCATTCTCCATACCCCATTTGAGCACAACCTCTCTCCCTCCTTGGACCAGCCTCTGGGGAAACCTAGCCTGCCCAGCAGGGGACATGGCACGCGGCAGGACCACACAGCCTGGAAGGCAGGAAGGAGGTAAAAACTAAGTGGGGGAGGTGAAATTGTCCCTTGTGCACACTGCGCATGGAAACACATTGTGCTGCTCCCAGCATGGGAGCCCAGATAGGTGCGAGCCCCCTGTGAACCACGTAATCTGGAAGCCACCCCAAATTGTCAGGGGTCCCCCCAGAGTATGTGCTATGCAAACGAAAGTACAATGGGGTTGGGGAAGGAAGTACAGTAAACAGCATTTTTTGAAAGCTCACTGCACTGTGAGAGAGGAGACACGGATTTAGCCTAGACTGTTCTTCCTGCCGGGTATGTGTGCAGCAACTCGAGTGTAAAACGGGGTGTAGTAGGCGTCTAACTCCCCTGCCTGCTCTCACGGAAGCCGCAGTCCCGCGGCCGCAATCTCTCCCGGGCCGAGGGCGCCCCCTCATGGCCGCCTGCAGGACCACCTCGGGACTAAGGGAGCGGGTAACGTGCACTTGAAGGCCTCCTCCTTATTATTAGTTCTGTGACTTGGGGCAAGTTGTTTACCCTATTTCAGCTGCCTCTTCTGTTGACCAGGGTGAAAACTATAACGTTTCTTTAGTGTTTACTTCGTGCTAGACACCGATTTGATGTAATAACTCGTCAGTTCCTCCCAACAGCACCACGTGGACACAGAAGCAGGGAGAACTCCGGATTTAGTCAGGAGCACTCAGCAAGTAAGAGGCAGGCCAGGTGAGCCCAGACGGTGTATCTCCCCACCCCCACCCCCCTCCTGGGCCGAGCCCTGCCCTCCCTCTTGCAGGAGCAACGTGTTGGCTTCTGCCACAAGCCCCGGAGCAGGTGATTCAAGGCTGCACCCGAGTCCCCACCCCCAGCCCTCTTGAATCCTCTGTTCTCAACCCTTTGACTACGTCCCTAACTCAGGACCCTCCACCCCCACGCCCGCCCCAGGCACTGATTTCTTTGTAAACTCCCCATAGTCCTTGCTCAGAAACCGTTTTCTGTCTGAGTGAAGTCTAGCCCTGACTTAGCTCAGGTCCAGCCCCCGCTCAGGGTCTCCCCACACTGTCCCTCCTGCCCTTCCTGCCTGCCTTTACTGCAGTCAGTCCCTCCATCTGCCTGCCGGAGTGCGGCTCGGTCCCGCCGTCACAGCCCCAGTGAGAGTTCCCCGTGCTGAAGGACCTGCCTCTACGGAGCACACTACAGACTCAGTGTGTTGGGTTGTGAAATTCCCCTCCTCTGGGAGGTAAGTGCTGGACAACAGTGGCTGCATTTTCCGCATTCTTGCCTCTTCCTTCACCCCCAACATCAGAGCACAGACTAGATATACGGAATTTTCACGGAAGATACCAGGCCTCCTATGCAAGCTTGGCCTGACCTCTGGCCCTGAGATGGTGCTGGAAGCCGCTGCTGACTGAAGGTAGGGGATCTGAAGGCCACTCCAGGATTCTTGCCTGGAAAGTCCCATGGACAGAGGAGCCTGGCCGGCTACAGTTCATGGGGTCGCAAAGATTCAGACACGACTGATCACACACACACACCACACACACTGAAGGCCTATGGGAGACAACCCAGCCCCCAGCAAAGGCCATGTTTGGTGGCCACTCCACCCTAGCTGGGGTAATTTTTTTTCCTTTTAGGACTGGAAGGGTGTCAGCGGAGATTTATTTGGGTGGTTGAGATTCAGAAAAAGGGTTGGGAGAAAATTGCTCAGTTGCCCGTCACATAAAATGAGAGCAGAAAAATTACTGGGCAGTAAATTTAGAACAAATAAGGAGAAATATTTCTTCGTGTTGTGCAGAGCCAGTGCAGTGGGGAGAGGATTTGGCCCCTCCCCAGAGATAAGTAATAGGAACAGATTTCTTTTTTTTTCTTTCTTTTTGAACAGCAGCATGATTTTATGACCAAAGACAAATGTGCTGTGTGTGGTTTGGTCAAAAAAGGATATTAATCGCCACATACACCCCAGGGTGGAAACTTCCCTCTGTCTAGTCCAGCTGTGCCCATGCGAGGAGGAATGCGACTGATGAAGGCAGTGATAATCCAGAAAGTTCCTTGAAGGGACCCAGGGCCTAATTCAGTTGTGTGGCTAATTAAATATTTATTGGGCATCTGCTTGATGTCAGGGGATATTGAAATAGAAAGAACCCTGGATTGGGTATCAGGTGGGTTCTATCAATAGTCCTTCCTCTGCCACTAAGTAGCTGTATGGTTTTGGGCAAGTCACCTCACCTCTCTGGGCCTGTTTCTCCATCTGTAAAATGGTGGGTCATCCTGTCTACCTTATGGGTGTGGTGAGAATCAAATGAGAGAAGGTACTGGTAGGTGTTTTTGTAAATTTCTTCTGTAAGGATAACATGTCTCACATTTGAGTAGGGTCTTCTGAGTCCCTGCTCTTTTAGGGCTCATGTCTTAGCTCTTGAGGCCACACCCAGGTTGGAGGGGCTTCCCTTGGACAGCAGGCAGCTTTCCAAGATGACAACTCAAAGACAGGAGCCATAGACACTCCTAGGTTCTGGCTTCTTCCCTGCCTCCCCATCCCCAAGAGAGAGACCCCTTTTCCTCCTTCCCTGAGCATCTTGTTTCTGTCCCCACCATATTCAGTCCCTAAGAGAGGTATTTAATGGGGTTATATGGTGGCTGTTTTCCTAAACAACAGGAGAACCTGTTTTATTTCACACTTCCCATCCTCTGTCCCAGATCCACAGCACCCAGGAGAACCCCAGAATTTGCACAAGTACCCAGATACTGATTAAGGGTTCTCATTCTCAGCCCTGGTCGCGTGTTAGGATCGGCCTGGGGTCCACTGTGAGCCCAAGTTCTCATTTGATTGTCTGGGGTGGGGACTGGGCCAATGCACAGCAGAGCCGAGCCTCAGAGTGCAGTGTCCCTCAGGCCCAGCCCTTCTCAGCAATACAGCTGTGCCCTCCAACAAGTATCATTTCACTGCCAAAAAGAGACAAAAGCAAAAGCAAAGCCTCAGTCTTTTATGTGCACTGTAATCTTTGGGTACTTCTCAACTGTGTGTTATTGAACCTCTCTAAGCCTCAGTTTCCTCATCCATAAAACAAGATAATATTAACTGTCTCATTAGGTGATGGTGAGGCTTAATTATCTCAATAAGATAATTAATGCCTGGCATGTATTAATAATAAGTGCTCTGTATATCAGCTATTGTTATCACCATGATTTTTTTTTCCCCAAATCACCACCAATATATTTGTTTGAGGGAGAAAGGGTCAAATCATGTCAAGAACTTTTAAACCAGACAGGATTAGGGACACTGATCTGCCTAACTTCTGGGTGTTCACAACTGCACAGGTAGAGTGTGTGAGGCGACACCAGGTGACCAAAGAGCACGATGGGAGGATGCATTCTGAGGAGGTGCTGCCTCCTTAGCAGAAAATGAGGACGGAACCCCCTAGAGCCCAGTATCCTCCTAGCACAGGCCAGGACATGATAGTGACCTGGTGAAAAAGAATCTCCCCCTATTTGCAAAGTGAAAAAGCAGAGCTCCCAGCTGAGCTGCAGAGTGAAAGCTGGGGTGGAATCTGACCCCATGATCCTTCCCCTCTGATCCAGGCCTCCACAAACCACTCTGTGATCCCCTGCACAAGGCAGACTCAGCAAATCTGTGAGTTAGGACGAGTCTTCCCAGTTCCCCAGCCCCATTCCACTGTATCCAGGTCCAACAGGTGACCCAATCCCAGGGCACAGACCCAGCCTCTCTGGGCCCCCACTTCTGGGTAGACACATGGCAAATATGGAAACAGAAACCCAGCTGGACTGGAACCCATCTGAATACTGATAGGTTGCAGTTGTCCTATAGGTGCTCCAGGATCAGTCCTCACCCAAGGTGGTCAGGCTGAAACAGAGCAATTATTTAGGTGATTCCAGTTGCTCCAGGGCAGAACACAACCTGGCAGAAAAGAAGGCTGGAGCTTCAGAAGAGCTGACCCTGAACATCCAAGTGCCTCCTGCTGTGGATCCGGGATCAGAACACAGGGAGCGAAGGGGACCCAGTCTGGGACCTGCGGTTGTTCACCACCGTGAGACTGCCTGCCCACTCCAGTCTCCATCACAAACGGTGTAGGTCCAGGTGGTCAGGGCCCGCCTGAACTGGGAGCCTGGATTCTAGGTGTTTCCTAGCCTCCCTTTGTCATCTATCAGGTAGGCACTGGAGAAGTGGGCCAACAGCATGATAAACTGGAGCCTTCCTGCCAGGTGGCATGCGTGAAATGAAAATAAAACTTGCATGAGTATTGCTAAAAGAGCTCTCTAAAACTGAGCCAGGAGACCATTAAGAAAGTATGACTTACGAACATCTCAGCCTGGATGGAATCTGATCTTTTGACCCAGTGATGTCACCCAGAACACCTGCCAGAAATTCAAGATACTTACTAGACCCTCATCTTAAAATAACTCATGACCACCTATCTGCGTATGGAACCCACACTCTAGAACAACTTGTGATTCCTTCAGGACAAATGTTTTCTGCCTCATGTTAGAGCCAACCACAGTTCTCAGCAGGCAGCTCTTAACAGCTTGGTGGCTTTTTGTCTTCGTAAACCCGATTCTTTCTCTTCCTCGGAACACTCTTTCAGGGTTACCTGAATCTGCATGTCCTGAATTGCAGTACTTAAGGCCCCAGTCAACAATGACAACAAAATAAAGACTCCAAATAAACCCTTTGCTTATTTGTAGGATCCTGCATGATCAGATGCCTGGAGGCTCCAGGGGAAGCCAGGTCTGGTTGGGGAGGGAGACGCAATGTGAAATGTTCACAAGCTGCTGTGACTAA